AGATGTTACCCGAAGGAATCGTTATTGACTATTATTATATATTCAATTTTGTTTAGTCAATGAAGGAGTTGGAAAGTCATTAAGCGATTTACAAGCTATCAGGCCATGAAATCTGTGTCAAATTGTGAAAATTACGTTTTTTCACACATGAAATCTGACTTGTACATCACTTCTAACTTCCTTTGAATAGAGAGAAAATTCGGACGGACGAACCCATTATTATAATTACAATTAGCTAAAGTGGCTTGGTCTTAGAAATTCTAGTGATTCATCCCAAACAAAGCAAAGACCTCGCTTATTCGCAATAAAAAAATCTTGCTGGCGAGGCGAATGAGATATACTGTGTCATTCATTTTTTTTAAGTACACTTCTTGTTTGTTGCACGTTTAAGAATAAACATTAACAATTGTGCTTGTTGTATTCTGTTCATTGTAGATATTAATCGTAATGCATTATTTATAATAAATGTAATTCTATGCGCTCAAAATTATGATTCTTAAACGCTTGTACTGTCCGGGCAAATTTGAAAAGATGATAATTCGACAATATCTAGACATTTTGTTTAAGAAAAAGTTGACAATGAAATCTGCGAGAAATGAATCATAAAGACAGAGATGAGACAGGAAAGATTATTCTTTTGCCCGATAGTATTATCAATTTTTCTTTGACATAAAAACAACCATAGACCATATCATCTAAATCTATGAAAACAACGGACAAATCGTCAGACCCAGACGGGTCTCAAGGACTTCGTAAAAATGAAAAAATCAATAAATGTAGAATGTAATCACTAGCTGTGGTATTGCCATATTGCCGCAACCATTACGGTATTACGATTAAAACATGCCTTGATGAAATTCAAAGAGAAATTTGCTTGGAAAGAAACAATACAAAGTGCAATTAAAGTTATACGGTTCTCTTTCTAAAGTATAATATTTTTTCACCGCACGAGAAAGTTTATACTAAACTATTATATTTGCTACGGAAAAATTAAAAAAATAAAAACTGTCTTAGAAAAAAAAAACAGTGAAAGAATAGACAGAGGTTTTAGTATTAAAGTAGGTTTGTATTTTTTTATGTGAGAAGGTGGAAAACAAGCTGGCGGTTCACCTGATGTTAAGTGATAACCGCTGCCCATTGACATTTGTAACAACTTCGGGCTGCAGATGCGTTGCCACCTTTTAGCAAAGTGGGCCCCGGCCACCTTACTCACCAAACGAAACGCAGAGGTGCAACACTTCTGCGTTTCGTCATGACACGCCGGTCTGCTGTGAGGTCGTTGTACTCACCCAGCGGACGCGCCCATCCGCACAACATAGAAGACTGTTGCGCGGAAAGTAAATTTATTTTTTTATTAAGGTACACCTACAGCATAACATATACTTACATTTATACTAGCCGTCCCGGCAAACGTTGTTTTGCCATATAAATTATTTGTAGGGTAGAAAAAAATGTTTGGGGTGGACCATCCTTAACAGTTAGGGGGTGAAAAAAAATGTTGTCTGACCCTGGCCGATATGCACACAAAATTTCACGAAAATCGGTCGAGCCGTTTCGGAGGAGTTCAATTACAAACACCGTGATACGAGAATTATATATATTAGACATATGATTTTTTTTTAATTACAGGTTTTGTTCTTATATTCATGCCTATTATAGGTATACACATTTACGATCTAAATAAAAGTAAAATGAAAATTAAATTTTACCGAAGAATTAATCATAAAAACTAGCTATATGTTTCAAGTAAATTTGTATGAGAAAGCGATAAAAGTAGAAAAAAACAAGAATTGATTTTAAATTTATATGCAGCTTAAATTGGAAGAGATCGTAATTTCGTTTTAAAAACATTTAACAAATCATTAAAAATATCCAAGTTCCACTCGGCTACAGAGATGTGATTGTATTTGCTTAAAATTCTTGAAAATGGTTGATGCAGTCCTAAATTTGTTCGGTATGGTGGAACACTAAAGAGTTTAACGATGCGAGATCTTGGGTATTTGTAAGGAAAGTTCCAAAAAAAAAAATTCTAAAAACATTGTATCTCTGGAAGATTCGAGACGATGGTTCATTTAATAACGCAATACATCAAAGCTCTTTCCACGACACGTCCACATATTCTGGTCCATTGTTGTGTAAATATTATACGAGCGAGGTCGGCGGGCAGTGTGAGATATATCGTGCCGGCTGCGGTCGAATTAGGCCTCCCGAAATTTTGATGAGTCGGCGTCTCTGCCTGTATGAGCCGGCATACACGATCGATGAGGCCTCACTCGGCTCCTCACAGCCTTAAATAGGCGGATTCCGCAGATGGGATTCTGCAAGCAATATCCGTCTACGAGAATATTTTTTTTAATTCGGGACTCTACCTATATTGTGCGGATTCCGCAGATGGGATTCTGCAAGCAATATACCTCTACGAGGATATTTTGTTTAATTCTTAGAGTCCACCTGTATTGTAGAGTTCTGTCTGACCAGGGTCTATATACAGCTGTCTAAGGTTCAACGTTTTAATGCTTGTGATGTAGGCACATAGAACAAGCGTTGCCTAGTTTGACTAGAAAACGTTGAGTAAAAATGTGTTCTGTGTCATGAAATAACAAAAAACAATATGCCGTAGATATGTGAAATCTGTCAATCCGCAGTGGGGTATTGGAAGTGTGGTCCACCACAAGTGGTGGACTATGCCCTGATACCGTCTGTATAGAGGAGGTCTTTGCCCACCAGTGGGATATGTACAGGCTGTGTCTTTACTGTAATGAAATCCTCAAGAAGAAAAATTGTATGAAAATTTCCATCGTCACGAGCACAGAGGAGAATTTATACAAAATAACGCGTTCCATACCAACAGTCCCGAAGTATCGTTATTCATTATAATTTCCCCTTTGAAACTTTTTCGGTGGATGATTGAAAGGCAAAGGGACGCCTTTTGTCGCCGGCGAAGCAATTTCAATGGGAAAGTACTCTCGATCACAAATTGTTCGCTCCAATTTTTAATATCAGACGGTCTGTCTTCGTATAATTTGTGTGTCGTTCGCGTCTCTTGGTGATTTCAACTTTTCCATACTTTAAAGGACGGAGTGTCGTGACTCACTCGTCAGTTTTCTAACAGTCGACAAGTCAATGTATCTCCTCATCATTTTGTGTCACAAACGATTTTTCCCTGTAAGCAACAACGGTAAACTAATTGGTGGATTCCATCAAGTTTCAACCCTAAATGACACACTAGACGAGGTCTCTAGTTACTGGCCTACCACTGCTTGCGAGTTCATTTCTTTCCAAACTAATTGTTTGGTCCAAACGTAATAAAGTACATAAGAAATAAAGAAAGGCAACAGTTAATTTTCATGAAATGAAATATCCTATTTATTAATCCAGCTTCTAACTTACTTATCTTCAATCCAATTTTCGTTTAAGTAGTACATTTAAAGGAGGAATAAACACAAATACAAAAAAATCATTAATACCTCGATAAAGTTTATAAAAAGTTTAAATGCTGAGTACACGTTTACTATATATCTATCTCTCTCTCGCACTCTAAAGCTTTTTGAATATGGATTCGCTAAAACCGGCCCATATGTAGACAATGCTTGACCGCGTTTATCTCAGCGAATAATTTACCAACAGTCTACTTTGCATATTGTAGGGTATCGTCCTTCTGCATCAGTGGTCTCTCGTGTATTCCGTAAATACTTTTTGCTGCGTCTAAACCTTTTCATTTTATTGAATGGCTCTTGGCCATTGAACCTACGTGTTCAGTAATTCGTGTCTCGCACGCTATGCTTTTTGAGTTCCAATGATTTGTGGCGAAAGGGTCAGTTGTGCTACACTATGTTTGTTTATTTTATTTATCTACGTGGCAATCTTTTTTTACTTTAGGATCCTGTGTAAGGACGTTTTACAAACATAAATTCTATGCGGACAAACACCCAGATACGAAAAAACTATCTGTGCGTCTCTTTTTCTATGTGAAAAGTTGCCAAGCGAGCAGACGGTTCACCTGATGTTAAGTGAATACCGCCGCCCATGGACATCTGCTACACCCGAGGGTTGCAGATGCGTCGACAACTTTTTGGGGTCCGGCTACCTCACTCACCAGACGAAACGTGAAAGTATTTGTCGTACTTCCAATTTACGCTGGCCTTCTGTGAGGTAGTGGTAATATTTATTTGTTTTTTGTTTATTTATTTATAAATAAAAAAAAATACTTCCACTTTACGCCGGTCTTCTGTGAGTTCGTGGTACTTACCCGGACGGGCCTACCCAGATTTTCGTCGGTGTGGCAATCAGCCGTTTAGCTCAGTAGCTAGAGCGTCAGGCCGCGAATGCCGAAGACGTGGGTTCGATTCCCACAGCGGCGACAATCTTTTCGCACTTTTTCTACATATTTTAAAATATTCTGTACTCTAAAAATAAAACACAAAGCTCTACAAATTCATTAGTCTGTAAATAAAAGACTTTAACAACAAATCAATTACAAGATTAATACGTTTTAAATAATATATTCATAATATTAACGTATCTGTATACTGATATAATACTGATCATCGTAGAGGTTAACTAATCAGCTGTCAAATGACTGTAATAACTGATCATGGTTTCAGAAACCAGGCGTGTAACTAAATTACATGATATCCAATAAACGTAGTCCACGCGGCATGGTGCCAAGAACGCGAGCTGCATTTCCTCGCTGAATAGTTATGCTTAACCTTTGAGCCAGAAAGGAACCAGCCCTCTGTGCCATTTGCTGAGGAAACTCTAGGTCCTGGTACAGCAAAATTTTCTAAAAATTTATGTCCCAGACTTAACCGTTGCTTAACTTAACTTGGTTCTTTGAATATGACAACTTAGCAAGGAAATGCAGATAGTTTTCTTGGTACCATGGTGCGTCAACTAGGTTTGTTTCGTACCATGTAACTTAGTTCTAGTCAATATTACAAATATTTTTTTGGTTTTGAATTGAGTTAAATAAGTTAGTTAAACTTTCGTATTCCTTTCAGAGCGGAGGTGTTATGTTCTCACCATTGGGGCGTCTCCGCGTAGCGCAGGCTGTCAGAAAACAGGTGAGCGATGGTTCCTCCGTCTTTACCCTAAAAGCGCATATAGGACTAGTCTAATGGATGAGCCTCACGTGATGTCTTTGTCTTTCAAAATAAAAAAAATAATACATTGTATTTTGATAACAACGGGAAATTAATATTGAGGAATATTATGTAGATCACAATATTGTAATACAATCAACGTTGTGGAAAATTCAGAAAAATATAAATCGTTTAATAGTATATTCGACCACTATGTAAAAACATGCGGACTGCGGCACTGTATAACTGTAAGTTTTTGAAGTAAAACTTCTTTAGGCGCGACTAGGGAGTAACTCAGATTTCTTCTGACGGAAGTAACGCTTTTTCTGACGGAACTAACGTCATAAGCATATGTCATATTTTTAAAATACGACATATACTTATGACGTTACTAAATATTTAATCATTTCAGTGATATATGCCGTCAACGCCAAAGAAGTTTTACTTCAATCGCGTGTAAAGGTTACACGCACACCCTTTTTTAATGTGACAGAAAACTCCATAATATCAGCCATAAATGCGCCAGCTCAGTAATAGCCTATTCACTCTTGCCTTGAAGACACCCATAATCGGATGGGGAGAACCGACGCTAGCAACTTTTCCACACCCGTATCTGTATGAAACCTGTACTGAACTGCTCCACACCTTTGTTGTACGAAATACGAGAGACTAGGCGAATCACTTCGGACTTTTTCTGTTTCATTGACGTGCTATTTATGATTACAGATGAGCCAGTTGCCGATGCTGAGCGCTGAGGCAACGCCACTGCAGGCGCCTCTGTGCTACCAGCTACTCTGCGCACCGCCCCTGGCGCCCCTACCCGCCTGCGCCCCTTGCGAGTTGCCGCCCCCACCGTACGCCGTATACCCCCTGCCATTCGATAGTAAGTGTCCAAGCTGTACAGTACCTGGTAGGGCCATGCAACAGTCCGCTGTTGCACGAATGGGCCGGTCCGTCCGGGGAAGTACCGCGACCCCACGGAAGGCCGGCGTGAAGTAGAAGTGTTATATTTCTGCGTTTCCTCTGGTTAATGAGGTAGGGACCCCTTTATTAAAAGGTAGCAAGGCAACCGCATCTATACGGGTTTACTAAGGTAACGCATATGCAACCCTACGGCTGTTGTAAATGTCCATAGACGGCGGTTAAAACACATCAGGTGGACCACCACCTCGCTTGACACTTTATCATTTGGAATTCCTCATGATGTTTTCCTTCACCGCAGAGCACGTGTTACTCGTAAGTCAGCACTTAAAATTAACGATTTTATTGGATTAAAGACAAGCAAACACTGCGCTATCACGGATCAACTGATGCCATAGTGGATTTATATTCCAGACTAATGACCAGCATTGCGTTAAAGATACTGAGTACCTTAGTGTCTTTATAGCGTTGTTTTTTATAACTTTATGATTAAGTTAAACCTCTTTGTATGTCAATGTTATGTATGTATTTAGTATGTAACCGTTTATAAATCATCATCATCATCATTATTTCAGCGTGTTTTAGTCCACTGCTGAACATAGGCCTCCCCCATAGACCGACATGAAGCACGATCCTGAACCACCAGCATCCATCGACTTCCCGCACACTTGCACAGGTCGTCACTCCATTTAGTGGGGGATAGTCCTACACTTCGATGGCCAGTATGAGGCCGCCGCTCGAGAACCTTTCTTCCTTTATAACCGCGACCCATCCCGGCTTCGCACGGGTGCAACACACTATACATATAAACCTTCCTCTTGAATCACTATATCTTGTGAAAAAACCGCACCAAGATCCGTTGCGTAGTTTTAAAGATCTAAGCGTACATAGGGACAGACAGACAGCGGGCCGACTTTGTTTTATGCTGTGTAGTGATAAAATAAACTTGCCGTTCCAGCCACGCCTATATACGGGCCACCGGCCCAGTATGCCCTGGTGCCAGCGCCGTTCAGCGCATGCTGCGAGCCCTCGTGCTGCGCCCCCCTCGACAAGCAGCCCCGCGCCCCGCCGCCCCCACTTCACCCCGCGTTCATCTACTGAGGCTCGCTCTCCCGATTCGCGAACGGGAATTTCGCGATTCTGAAACCCCTTTATTTCTAATTCGTCTAGACTCTACGATTTATTCAAGTTTATTTAAAAGGTCGCGCTTGATTCACTCGAAACGGTGAGATTTCTATCGACGATAACGCGTACGCGTGTTATTGCGAGTTAGATATTTTTGGATAGTTTTTTTTTGTCAGTGCGTCTATAATTTATTTGAATGAAGGCAAATTCGGGTGTATACCTATAGATTGATATGAGTGTTGGTAATTTCGTGATAAATATAGTATTTCGCCAACGCAGCGAAGAAAATAGCAGCTAAATATGTCCATGGTACTCGCTTTTGGTCATCATTCTCAGGTCTTCCATAGTATTTCAAAGTCAATAAATCCAAGTAGACACAGTCAGTTTGTAAATGAGAGAACTACCGCTTTTATAAACAAATAAGAAGTAAAAAGGAGATTAAGGTTTTCTTAGTGATGTGAGAAGTGTTCAAGGCTTAGAGGCGTATTTTTGAAGTTTTTTTCTATACTTCGGTCGTGTCTGTCTCTTGTTTGATATCGAACTATCGTACTAGAATATTTAGGCTTCAAACAGGTACATGGTGTAGTGGATACGCGTGCTGTCGACGATGTTACGTGTTTTGTACATATATATCGACTCGTTTTATGTCTGCTCTGAATATATTTCTAATGAATGTTATCTTATCTTAAAAAAGTAACAGCCCAGGTGCGACGAAATGTTACCATTCTTTTTTTATTAACGTTAACATAGATCGTGTGTGATACATAGAGCGATTTGAAATATCTATAGTTATTATCGATAGATGTAATAACATGATAAGTGCACCGAAGCACAACGAACAATGGCACAAAACAGATAATTTGCTAGTGAAAATTACCTCGATACAAATACAATTGTTATAGCTTGTTATCCTTTAAAAGGAGTTCCGTTTATCCATAGTATAAGGTTGTTCTGTTGCCCTAATGATTAGTACAGAGAATTGAAACTATTTTTGAACGCTTTAGTTAATTAATGTTGCTAATGACAATGAAGATGAACCTGGGGTCCAAATGGGTTTTGGAGCGGACACTTCGAAGTTCTCCACATCGCCACTCCAACTTGCAAGAGTCGAAAACGCGACGGGAATTCCCAAGTGTTCCCTGCCATCGCCGTTATTGATTATTGTGGAGGATTTATAAACATGTTACAAAACCTCAACATACCAGATGGCGATAACGAATCGTAAGTATAATTTGCTAATGAGAAAGCAAATGCGATTAATAAAACGCGTTTAACCGAGACAAATAAAAGCAACGAAGTCACAATAAATAGCTATATGAACAGGGAACGATTAAGAAAAACCCGAAGGGATAAATGTGAGTTTCGTTGTCTTGTTATTGTAAGCTAATGTTAGGGTAGAGAAGGGCAACTGTCAGTATATTAATAGGACCAAATAGTACTCCGGTACAGTATAGTTGAGGTCGAAAGCACGGCGGATCATGAGAGTTGAGAGAAGCTGAGACGTTTCAATAGAATACTGACAACCACTTATGCCCGGTTCCTATATTTAACGAACGGCCGTTAGTTAAGTAGCTTCGTATCTTCTTAACGACTTGTAGATTAAAGGAACGCTAGTAACTCATTTTCCGTAGGTAGCTCAACGCGTCGTAAGGAAAACGCCTCGCTTTGTTAATATAGGAACCGGGCGTACACGCCTTTTATCTACGAGTCTTTATGAAAGTTACGAAGCTATGTAACTAACGACCGTTCGTTGGATATAGGAACCGGGCACTAGAGATTGATCACGCGCGTTGCTTTAAAACTATTATCTTCTTTAAACTTATTTCGAAGGAGTAAAAGTAAAGGCCTATTTTCGGGAACATTACGTTGGCTCATGATTCTACACATTTTATAAGACGGAATTTGTTTTTCTCGTCTGTTTTTTCGTCTGAGCAAATTTTATCTGTCGGATGCTTCTTACGTTAAGATGCATTTTCTCATAAGTGTCTACATTAATTTTTCAATACTTAATAATAATTCAAATGACATGATTTGTACAAATTAATAGATAAAATATTATTGCAAGGAATTGTTATTTAATTAAGTTTATTGAGAAATGGACATTTATAATATGTCAAATGAATATTCAGTATCTTTAAGGCTTACAATCAAACAAAAAACTAACTGCCACGTATGATATTTAAACGTTCATTGTTAGTATTTTTGCTACTTCAATAGTAATACTGTCATTTACTAGTATAACTTAATAAAATCCTGTCAATTTGTCGTCTTAACTGAACTTTGTTAAGTAATGATAAGGTATACGTCTATGCTAAATGTATTTCCGCTTTGCTAAACCATCTTTTCCTCTATGAACGTTAGACCTTGGATATCCATTCTACGTTACCATTTTATAAAGTGTATTTGAAAATGTCGTTGTTGTTGTGTGTCTGTTTGATTTATCTTCGGTGTAATTTGATAATACTATTAACATGTTATTGAGAGTTGATAATTCTCGTTTAATACTAGGATCTAAATACGAAAGCTACGATTTTAGGTACTGTTTAAGCGAAAATATATCTATTGCGCGTATCATAGCTTATCGAGTTGTTGTTAAAAATATCTGTGTGAGGTATTTTTGCGGAGTTTACATAATTATAGTCTTTTATCGCGTTCCTTCTAATTCTTCGAAGAATACCATGACTTGTTTTATGGACCACAGATTAGGAACATCCAACTAAGAAAATGTCTTCGTATCGTCCATTTGTCCATTCCCCAACATATAGATATTTATAGCAGCAACTGCGTGTACCAATATTATGTGGCCTAGAGACTTTTCTGCCTCACATATCGGATAAATGGATAAATCTGTACGCTATATAGTTAATTATTTTTCATATATCTCGTCTTGTGTATCGAATACCGCCAAACGTATTGGTGACTTGGTACTCGTAATTTAGACAATATTACAGTATTTGAACGTAAACTAACGTAAGTGTGTTATTGATTAGTGTTACTAAATGAATCTACACGTGTAAGCAGGTACAGCCCTGGAAATCTATTTTAGCTTATACATATACTACAATCGATGTGATCTTTTTCTAATAAAATAATGTAATCGGTGTTTATAATTACTCTTGGTGTGAGAAAAAAAAAAAAAAATCCTAAAAACAGACGCTCTTCGAAATTTTTCAACGTGTACCCTCTCGATTCTGACGTATATTTCGACGAGCGATTTTGAGAAAGATTTGCGCGAGCATAGACGAATGGAGGAACTAGTTTTGTCTTTTCCTTGGGCGGGGCCATCGATAGTTTCTGGTGTACGAATGGTAAGAACAGCAGGCTTTTCCGGGCAGGTTCCACAGCTTCAACAAACGCCACCGCGGAATGGAAACGCCAATTGTCTGTGCTTCACGTATGAATTGAGAGCCGGAGCTAGATAGCGTTTTTGAAGGTTGCCAACGCCAACCGCAATGGTATTGCAAATTTGGCAATGCAACATCAGGCGAACCGCCTGCTGGCTTGCCACAAGCACCAAAAAACGAACAGCATTCCCATACCAGATTAACTCGGGAAAATACGTCCTAGAATCGATTTCAATGTCGTGATATAGTATCAAACTTTGTTATACTCTCGCTTAGAATTTCCAAACAGTATTTCTCGTTCTTTTTCACAAAGTTCATGATTCACCGAACGACGGTCTTAGGGGGAATGGGGTGAACGGATATGTAAGTGGGATTGCTCGATTTGAATCAAACAACAAATATTTTGTTAGTAAAATGTTTGCAAACAACGAACTACGAACGGTCTATGGACTGACCATTAATAGACAACGTTAATAATTTGAATGTAATAGTCACATCAATTTGAGTGCTCATTTAGTGATTTTTTGGTCATGGCTTAAGTACTAAAACTTGAACATGATTTGCTTTCGAATGGATTAGACTGACAGAACATCTATTACTTCTAGATTGTGCCGTCCGCGCGTAGGTGTTGACGACTAATGGATCTTTAGCCCTGTCTCAAATAGATTACTTCGTTAGATCAATGAAATCCGTCTCCGATCTAATAGTAACACGCAATGTACAGGGACATGACAATATTGTGGCACTGTTGATGTGGTTACACTTTAAGTAGAAATATTGTCCAGGCATTATGCACTTTGTTTTTCTTTAAGCAACTTGAACAACTTTACGTTGGTCTTTCTTTCAGAGCACAAGACTAAGTTTGTTCGACCTTGTAGAAAAATTGAGGAGTTATCCTCCAAGATGCGGAAGAACAAAATTATATAAATAAAGTGTGTTGCAGATTATAATAATGTTATAATCCACGAAATTATATAAAAAACAGAAAACAGTCTTGATCCAAACTCAAGATGAAATCGCTAAAAAATTGACCTGAGTACTTAAAAATTAATTCTCAAAACTAATTCAAACCAGGCATTTTTTTTTTATTAGGAGGTATTACATTAATAATTGTATTAATGGACGCATTTTTTATCGTAATGGTTTCCTCGATTCAATATGACTTTTATAGTTAAAAGCTTACTTTCATATACTATAAGTAAAGCTTTTTTTACGTTTATAAGATTTAGAAGAAGAAATTGGACAAGACGTTTCAACTGTTCCTTTTGTTTATTTTCTACATTTGCAAAGAGATTTGAAACCGCTAAGTGACTGCGCTGTTTTTGGCAGATTAAATTGTTTTGCATCAGAAATTGAATCTAGTTTCCTTATAGCGGACAGTGCATCTGAACGAATGGTTCAGTAGATCTATGATATTTGATGTGAGCAACATCAAAGGTTTGAGTAGAACAGGATCCAGGATCACCGGTAATTAAAGTTCGAGGATTGACCGAAGGATTCCTGTTAGGTGACATGGTTTTTGATATACCTTTTACAAGTTTATAGTCCGACATTTCTTTATAAATTTACCCTTTAGATATTAAACTGTTCGTTGTTTATAGATTGTATTTCATAGCGGAGTTTTAACTG